TCTCCAGGCTGGACACCCCAACTCTCCCAGCCTGGCTCCAGAGCTGCTCCAGCCCTCCCAGCATCTCTGTGGCCTCCTCTGGCCTCTCTCCAACAGCTCCATGTCCTCCTTGTGTTGGGGGCTCCAGATCTGGCCCCAGTTCTCCACAGGGAGGGAGAAAAACACCCTCATGCTGGTGGGGGGCACAGTCTATTTAGGTTGAAAACATCTCTTCAGGTTTCCATGGGGCTCCAGCTGCTTGTCAGGCTCTGCTGACAGGATTTTGAAGCCCACTTCAATCATCTGCCTGCATTTCTTTCCTTTCCTTTTTGCTGGTTTCCAACATGCTAAAAATCATCAAAATGGTGAAATACTGTCCCAGGGCTGCAGGAAGAGGAATGAGAATGTGTTCCCAGTATCCAATCATCTGCTTCTTCTGCCTGTTCTTAAGAATTGAATTTATTGAAGCAATTTCTCCTGACTAAATGTGATATAAATCTGAGCACATGTATGTACATACCAGTCATATTCTGTTGTGAACGAGCTGCTCAATCTTTCTTTAAAGAATGAGTGAATCCTCCTGACATTTTTGCAAGATCAAGTCAACTCAGAGGTTTGGGGGTTGTTTGGGTTGTTGTTTTGGTTTATTTTTTTGCAGTGTGTTGGGTCTGATTTTTTTAAATAGAGCTGCTTGTTGTGCTATCAGAAGGAGCTGGCAGGCAGCCTGGAATGCCAGTGGGTTTTTTGGTTTGTTTTCCTGCTCTCCATTTCACTTAGTGTTGTCAAAGGCTGGGGAGTGACAGCTGATCCATTTCTTGCATTTCTCAAATAGCTTTTCTTGGGCTTGGAAAGGAGAAAAGATGAGGGAGAGAGAGACTCTGAAGTTCTGCACCTTGGTAGAGGGAAGTGAAGTGCCAGCAGGAAGGACAGATCTCTGACCTGTGCTAATTAAACAAGCCCAGAGTTGGCTGCCCTGGGAAGTGCAGGATTCTCCTTCCAGCATCATTAAGCTGAGTGTTTAACCACAAGATTTGTTTGCTGATGAAATAAAGGCATCCTCAAACCTCATCCCACGCAGGAGGGTGATGGAAACAATCCTCCAACACTTCCAGCTCCAGCCTGCCTGGGACAGTGAGGGACATTTCATAGAATTACAGAATGGTGAAGGTTGGAAGGGACCTAAAAGATCATCAGGTTCCAACCCCCCTGCTATCAGCAGGGACACCTCCCACCAGCCCAGGCTGCACAAGCCTCATCCAACCTGGCCTTGAACACCTCCAGAGATGGGGCTTCCACAACCTCCCTGGGCAACCTATTCCAGCGCCTTCCTACCCTCATGGTGAAGAATATCCTCCTCATGTCTAACCTTAATCTCCCCTCTTTCATTTTAAAACCTTCACCCCTTCTCCTTTCACTGCCCTCTCTGGTGAGGGTTCAACTGGCCTTCAAAGTTTGGTGGCTTTGCTGCTCTCTCATGGGTCACTGCTCTGAACTTGGAGCTGCTCCATCACTTGCTGATGACTGAGGGTCCTGCTGGACTGGCAGAGGGTTTGTGAACCTTGTGGGCGGTTTGAGAACAAGACTAAAAAGTGATGATCTGGGCTCCCTGTGTGGACCAGGTTACCAGTGGTCCCGGCTGGGAGGAGTCAGAGGAGGTTCAAGCTCTCTTATGGGTTGTGGCCTGCAGGAAGCTGGGGAGGGACTTGGGCCAAGGGCAGGAGGGATGGGCTGAGGGGAAAGGGCTTGAAACTGGCAGTGGGGAGATGGAGGTTGGAGCTGAGGAGGAACTTGTTGGCTGGGAGGGTGGGGAGAGGCTGGGCCAGGGAAGCTGTGGCTGCCCCATCCCTGGGGGTGTTGAAGGGCAGGTTGGCTGGGGCTTGGAGCAGCCTGGGCTGGTGGGAGGTGTCCCTGCCCAGGCAGGGGGTGGATCTAGATGATCTTTAAGGTCCCTCCAACCCAAACCAGTCTGTGATTCTGTGATGATTCTAAGTTCAGGATGGTATGAAGAGCCCCGTCTTTTGAACGTGTCCTCACTCAGACTCATCTTGCTTCCTCTGTCCCCATGTCACCTCAAGACTGGTCTTCTCCAGGGTTTAATATTCCAACACCGAGCTGCTGGCATCTCCTACCGCTCTACCCTTCTGTTCTCCAAGCCCCACATCACTTCTGGAGGCTTCTCCGGGGGCTGTGGTGGTGGGTGGGTGTTCCTGGCCGCCTTTATTCTTCTTCTTGTCCTCTGCCAGGGAGCATTTTGGCTGCCTGCCTGTTCCATTTGGGAGAGGGGCCTGTTGATCCTTGGTGAGTGTTTGCAGAAACCCTGGACTTTTCCTTCATAAATCCAGACAGATTCCAGCATCGTGGATGTTTCTCCCCCTTTCTGCTGGAGAAAAACTGGCAGCTCCTTTCCTTGGAGCTTTTGGTTCTTGTTGTTGTGAGCTCAGGGTGGGGAATCCCCCTCCCTCTTGGAGCTACATGTTTTAGCTTCATACTGCTGGGAATAATATTAAAGATCTAATTTTTCATATTAATTAATTGATTTCTCTGTCTTCTCCATCAAAGTAAAAGGGGACTTTTCTGTAGCACACACGCTCACCCTCTTCTGCTGCCTCGGGTTCTTGGAGCACTTTCTCATCTAACTCCTAAAAATAAGTCTCCCCACCCTCTGGCTGCTGCTCAGTGTGTGTGTGTGTGTGTGCAGGAAGGGCTGGAAAATGCCAAAATCCAACCAGAAGATCCCGTGGCCTTGGGCCCCGTCCTGCTTTCATTTCTGCTCTTGGCTGGAGGAAACTTGACGTGCTTGGCCCAAGCCAAGAGCAGGACTTGGAGCTGTCTCCTCACTTAGTGTTCGCTGAGTGCCCTGCTGGACTGACAGAGGGTTTGTGACTCTTGTGGGTGGTTTGAGAACAAGACTAAAAAGTGATGATCTGGGTTCTCTGTGTGGACCAGTTCAGCAGTGGGACTGGCTGGGAGGAGTCAGAGGAGGTTTAGGCTCTCCTATGGGTTGGGGCCTCCAGGAAAGCTGGGGAGGGACTTGGGCCAAGGGCAGGAGGGATGGGCTGAGGGGAAAGGGCTTGAAACTGGCAGTGGGGAGCTGGAGGTTGGAGCTGAGGAGGAACTTGTTGGCTGGGAGGGTGGGGAGAGGCTGGGCCAGGGAAGCTGTGGCTGCCCCATCCCTGGGGGTGTTGAAGGGCAGGTTGGCTGGGGCTGGAGCAGCCTGGGCTGGTGGGAGGTGTCCCTGCCCATGCAGGGGGTGGGACTGGATGATCTTAAAGCTCCCTCCAACCCAACGCATTCTCTGATCCTCTGAAGAGCTGCTGGAAGTCCCACCACCACGTTCCCACACTAAACCCCCTGAAGAGCCATTTGCTTTATTACAGCTTTTAAAAACCCTGCTCTCAGAGTAGCAGCAGGGGACGGGAAAGGGAGCTGATCCTTCTCCAGTTGGAGGTGGTGGGGCTTCCTGTCTTTCCTCTGATACTTTATTCATAAGAACAGCTCCACTTGGAGCATCACAGGACTGAGGGTTTCGTTATCCTTGGCTGGAATCTGTGACAAACAACCCCTGCCACCAGCCTTGTAGTTTACCCACTAGGGAGCCAGATTATTGCCTTGTAAAACGGAGCCCCACTCCTATAATCCCTTAATTAATTAAATGACAAATTTGAGCTCTCTCCCATTGAAAATATAACTCGTAGATAGAGAGGACTTGGATTTATTTGATGGCTTCTTGCTTGTGATTTATTTATTTTTTATTTATTTATTTCTTTTTCCTGGAGGTTGTCACAGTCTTTGCCTGTGGCCCTGGTTTCTGCTGGCTCTGCCCTTCCTCCACAGCCTCCAGCTGGAGGATGTTTTCCTGGGTCTCTGCTGTGTCAGATGGTGCTTTGGAAGGGCTTGAGCCGTGTCCCCATCTTGCAGGTGTTGACAGGGAGATGCAGGAAGCCCCTTGGTCCTCTAGGGAACTGGTGGTGGGGTTGGGTGGGAGCCTGGGTGTGGAAACCTGCTCCTTTGGTCGGTGGTGTCTCAGTGTCCGGGTTCCCAATGAGCTGTGCTCAGAACGTATGTGAAAAACCCTCCAAAATTCTCATTTTTTCTTATTTAACAGCTCCATGTTGTGCTGGGGGCTCCAGAACTGGGCCCAGTTCTCCAGGGGGTCCCAGCAGAGCAGAGGGTGACACAGCCCAGGACACGGGGGGGGTTTCTGGGCTCTAGCGCCGGCCCATGTGGAGCTTCTCCTCCACCCTCACCCCAGCTCCTTCTCCTCCACCCTCACCCCAGCTCCTTCTCCTCCACCCTCACCCCAGCTCCTTCTCCTCCACCATCACCCTCAGCTCCTTCTCCTCCACCATCACCCTCAGCTCCTTCTCCTCCACCATCACCCTCAGCTCCTTCTCCTCCACCCTCACCCCAGCTCCTTCTCCTCCACCCTCACCCCAGCTCCTTCTCCTCCACCACCACCCCAGCTCCTTCTCCTCAGGGCTGCTCTCCAGCCCTTCTCCACCCAACTCATGACCCATTCTCAACCCAATCCTTGGGATCACCACCCACATCTCACCAGGAGACCCCACCAGAGCCCAGCCCAGCAGCACATCCCCCTTTTCCCCTCCTCGATGAATCCCAACCTCTCGCCGCGTGTTTCCCCTCCTCGATGAATCCCAACCTCTCGCTGCACAGCTTCTAATTGGGCTATTTTGAATTTTTGGAGCTTATTTAACAATTTCCTCCTCTCTCCTCTCTCCCCAGCTCAGCTCAGCTGCATGAAATATGGGAGACGACAGGCCGTTTGTGTGCAGTGCCCCCGGCTGTGGACAGGTACCTTCACAAGATACTTTATTGTCCCCGTGTCGACGTGAATCAAAAGTGGCTTTTTTATCACTTGAGGCAAAGAGTTTAAAGCCGGTTTTTTTACGTGATCACTGGAGGGAATCAGATCAGAGGATTTTGCAGTGTGTAAATCCAGGTTATGAGCCAAGTGCAGGCACTCCAAAATAATGAAACCTGCCTCCTTATTCTGCTGGTGTTTTCCAAGGAAAACGTGCTGATCTCCTGGTAATGTTTGCTGGGAACGTTGCTCATCTTCCTCCTCTTTCAGGAAGGGGCAGAGATTCCTTCTCCTTGGGGATGAAGGAGCTGCTGGAGGATGTTCTGGGAATGTGACAGTCGTGTTCTGTGAACCCCAAAGTCTGGTTTGGGTCATTTTTGAGTTTTCGGTCATTTTTCCTTCAGGGAATTGGCAGAACTTTTGGTGGCTTTCCTAAGGAAACCATTCTTTGGATATACAGCCTTTCTCCTGGGCTCACCTGCCTGGGAATCCCACCTTTCCATGGTGTTTTCCTTAGTCTGGGCACTGTAACTGGGACTTCCCCAAATCCCAGTTGAGGGTCTCGCCGCTCACGCGCCGTATCCCTGGGAGGAACTGGGGGGATTGTGGAA